AAAAATATATATATTTCATTGATTTTTTTACAGAGAGGAAGGGAGAGGGATAGAAAGCTAGAAACATCGATCAGCTGCCCCCCGCACCCTACCACTGGGGATGTGCCCGCAACCAAGGTACATGCCCTTGACAAGAATCGAACCTGGGACCTTTCAGTCCACAGACTGACGCTCTATCCACAGAGCCAAACCGGTTTCGGCAACAAGAATTTTAAAACATGCAATATCTGACTATTTATTCTGGGACACTGACTTCTTTTCCCTAAGACTGTCAAATAAAAAAAATGACAACAGCCAACACAACAATAGCTGTCCTGGTGTGAATGTCCTGTCTTGAACCATAAATATTTAGGTCATATAATAAGAGTTCCATCTTATTGGTTACATCTCATAATAAAGCTGCACCTGATTGGCTAATTCTTGGTACCAGAAATCCTTATATACAAGTATAGGCATCTGATTTTTAAAAGTCACTTTGGTAAAAAAAAGGATAGGAAATTATTATTATTATTAGTATTTTCAAGTCAATCAAAATCATAACTAATTTTTTGTCAGGTTGGCAAAATGTATTTTTTAGTGTGCTGAAGAATTTCAGTAATTAGTGTATGTATGGCATGAGATGGAAAAGGTTGAAAATCGCTGTACTAATTGAATTTTAAAACTAGCCCTAGTGCCAGGGACACTGTGTATTGGTTATACTTGAAATGTCATTTAAAAATAAAAAACTGCTTGAGGACAAATCATAAATTAGCAGATTTAACTCTACTTAATTATAATACCATAAAAGAACTGGTCATAGTTTCCACTTTCTATTTTCCTCTGTTACAGCTTGAAATAATAAGTTCAGAGGCCCTCACTATATTTAGCTTCCAATTATCCCCAGGAAAGAAAGACCCCAAGAAACCCTTCTGCTTGGATGGTGTGGCTCAGTGGCTGAAGCATCGACCAGGAGGTCACGGTTCATTTCCCGGTCAGGGCACATGCCTGAATTGTGGAGTGTGCAGGAGGAAGCTGATCAATGATTCTCTTTTTATCATTGGCGTTTCTATCTCTCCCTTTCCCTTCCTTTATAAATTAAAATATATTAAAAACAAAACAAAACAAAACAAAACAAAAGGAATTCCTTCTCCCCCAGGACCATGACTCATCAATCCTATTCACCCAACCCACTCCGGCTGGATAGATCCAGTCAGTGTCCTCCTGGTTGATCCCAAGTCCATGGCTTTGCTCTGGTTACATCTATAGTGAGCTTTTCCACCCACCATTTATTTTTTCAAAGCTGTACTCAAATCTCACTGATTTTCCAGACAACTTGCTTTTCAGACTGGCCAAAAAAGTGAAAGTGATTCTGCATATTGGATCTCACTTGCTGTCTTATAATAACTATTTATGTGTGCCAAATGTCTCCTCAGTTTGATGATGGGATCCTTCAGGCCAAAATACTCTCTTATAGTTCCATCCTGGGATTACTTGTTTTCATGGGAAGATTTCAAAATTCACCCACAGAAGAGGGCCAAGAAAGTCAGGGTGACATTGCCAGATCCGATTCTCACTCAGTGACTTTCAGAAACTTACTTCTCTTCTTTGGACCTACACAATGACGGTGAGCTCCAAAGCCACTCCAGAAGTTAACATTCTAAGACTAATAGTCGTTTTGTAAAGGAGGAACTGAGTCACAGCACAGAGAAAGTGACTTGCTCAAGTTCACAGAGTTAATTAATGGCCCACGGATAATTAGAAGTTCAACCTCCTGATCCCCAGCCTGCCATCCCTGTTTCAGAACGCCCTTGACTCACCCAAAGCAGCAGCATGGAATCTCGTCAGGACATATTAGTATGCTCATTGAAAATACAGGGATTGCCTTGCTAAGAAACTAAACTCTCTAGAAAAGATAGAATTTGAACATCCTTAAACATATTGTTTATTTACAAAAAAATTGTACAGTTACTTCTCCATTTCAGCTCCTCAGGTACCGATTCCTTTTATGCCATGGCAAAGGCTAGTTCTTGTTTCTTTCTCTTAAAAAAAAAGTCTTATTCTTGACCTTAGAACTGTCTGCCAAGCTCTGTTGTCCCTTAATGTTTTTGATTTTTCCACTGGCTCTTCTCTTTTCCACAAGAAAGACAAATTATAGCGGAGGCACATTAACTTCTTTGGACCTCTGTTTCCTTATCTGTAACCAAAAGGTGTTGAGAAGAATACTCTCTAAAGATCTCTCTGACTCTAAGAGCATCTGAATGAAGAGGCAGGAGCAGAGTGAGGAAGGTGAAGGGAAAAGCGCTGTTTTATCCTAGGTTCCCCCCCCCAAAAAAAAAAAAAAAAGTCTGAGACATGGCTTAACTGAAGTTCACTGTGCAGAGTGATTTCAGGGAACAGGTGCAGGGGCCTGACTGAGAAGAGTGAAAAGCAAAGGAGGGAAATAGCATCAAAGATTGTGTTGTTGAGTTGACTGCCACTAAGGATAGTTGGGGTTCAATCTTGCTGGGACCCTTGGAGAAGCTGTGTAGAATGTCCCTCACTGTCCTTTGAAGGACAAAGGAAGAATCTGTCCACTGTCTCTGTCCCTCCTTAGTGAAAGGTTGTGAACGTGCTCACATGTCAGGAGTGTGCATGCAACAGAGGGCCTCGGGGTCCCTGCAGTCATCCCACATGGCGGTGGCAGGGAAGTCAGGGCAGAACCAAGAAGATGTGGAGTAGGCTGAGACAGGTACTTCTGGTTACTTTCCCACGTGTCTGATTCTTGCAGCCACATCTAGAGTGAAAGGTAGACTGAGAGGAGGGGAGAAGGGTGGGCTGAGGGGAAGGGAATTAGGGCTTGAGGTCCTTAGACCTACCTCGGTGCCTGGGTGACCCACATAAAGGGAAAATTAAATCAGTCTGGGTGGACTGAGAGATAATGATATTTCCCAGAAGGCTTAAAAGTAGGGGGCAAAATATCATCCAAAGCAAGATGGTATTAAACATGATATCAAAACCCTTTAGAGCAAGAGTCCAAGTCTTAATGGGCCATCAACTTTTCCTCTGACATCTTTCTTTCCTGTCCCTCCCTCCTCCTGCTCCAGCCACACTGACCTCCATGCTGCTCCTCCAGCCACCACCTGGCTGCTGCTTAGGGTCTTGGCCTTGTTGTCTCCTGCACTCAGTGCTGGTTTCTGCCACTGTGTCATCTGAACCCTTCGCGACCACCCACCTATGAAAGGGCATCCTTATTACCCTTTATCCCCTGACCTACTTATTTTCCCCCCCCCCCCCATAATATGTAACACTATCTCAGTTCATATTACATGTCTATTTTTACTAATTTTATTTTCAGTATTCTCCAGTGGAATGTAAGCATTACCAAGGCAACACATTTCTTCCCACCCCCACTGGCATATCTCCAACATCTAGAACTGTTCTTGGAAATAGCAGGTACTTGATAAATTAAAAACAAAAAAAGAATGACAGGTTGAATAAATGAAGATGTTCATATCTTGCTGATGCTGAATTTGTTAAAAAAAAAACAAAAAAACAAAACAACTACAGGAGGGCCTAACATTTCTATAGAAGCACAAAGACTGTTAGATTATGTTCTTTCTGGATGGCGATATAAATTATCAGTGTAAAAAGCTGACAAGTAAGGCTTGAGCTTTTTGGATTTGGAAAGACCAGTGTTTTAGAGGTTAGGGACTCTGGGGGCTGAAGAGAGTTCATTCTGAGACACGCTGTATCAATTATCACCTCTTGCCCCTGGTGTGCCTCCATCCCAGGACTTCAGATGACATTCTGTCCTTTTGGCTAATAAGATCAGGGCTCTATGCTCTCTAGAATGTGTGAGTGTGTGCAGGTGTGTGCGTATGGACATGTATGTGGACAAATTCCCTTCTTACCAATATGTAACTCAATAAAAACTGCAAAGATGTTCTGTAGGATCTTCATTCAGGCGGCTCACTACATGTGTCTCTGGAAGCAGGGTGTGCAGGTGTTTGAGCATGAGCAGGACAGCTAGTGGAAGAAGAAGGCTAAATGCAGGTGCTAAATGCAGGTGTTTTACTGATGAAGACTTCAAGAACTGGAAAAGATGGGAAATATTTAACGTTTTGACAACTCTCTATAGATAACAGATGGTTTGAATAGTGATTCTAACAAAGAGTAATTGAAACCAGACACTTGGAGGAAGAGTTAAAAGTAGGAGAGGGTTTACATTAAGTAGAGGCAATGGTCTGAGGTGGGCTTGTCAGTTAAACTCAGAGGATATGAGGGATGTTGTATGAAAATGCACACTGAGCATTACTGGAGTGGTGTTACGTTATAAAGATGTTGTTAATCTTTTGAAATCACAAAACTCTAGCATTTGTGGTTTCAGTAGCCTGAAACTGGGGACGGAAGATTCTGGAAAAATGTAACTAGCCTAGAAACTTGCCACCTGAGCTTGGTTAATATGGATGGAAGTAAGGGGCTTCATATATTTCCTAAAATTATGTGTAAAATTTTATATGTAGCCATGTACATTTTTTTTTCCCCCTGGGGAAAGGGAAGAGAGCAGGATATCTTTACACATATTTTCTGTAAAGATCCAGGTAGCAAATTCTTTGAATTTCATGGGCTAAATGGTCTCTGTTGCCAACTATTCAACCCTGCCCAGTGCGGAAGTAGCGATAGGTAGTAGATATAAGGGTGGATGTGGCTGCTTTTCCAATATAAATTTAACTAGTCATAGAAGGTGAGCTGAATTCCGCCTTCGGAACAGAGCAGTGCCATCTACAGAACTCTCTGCAATAATGGAAATGTTCTATGTCTCTGCTGCCCTAGGGGAGCCACTAGCCACACACGGTTATTATGTACTTGAAATGTAGCTAGTATTACTGGTGTGCTGAGTTTTTAATGAATTAACATTAAGACTTGACTAAGATGGTGGAGGGACAACACGAAGCTTATAGCACTATCTCTGGACTGACTTCGGTTTGGGTCCCACCACAGCAGTGATCGCCAGCAAACGGCGCCCAGGGTAGTGGGCCAAGATGCCGAACATCAAAATCTTCAGCGGCAGCTCCAACCTGGACTTGTCCCAGAAAATTGCTGACCGCCTGGGCCTGGAGCTAGCCAAGGTGCTGACCACGAAATTCAGCAACCAGGAGATCTGTGTTGAAATTGGGGAAAGTGTCCGGGGAGAGGATGTCTACATCGTTCAGAGCGGCTGTGGTGAAATTAACGACAACCTGATGGAGCTTCTGATCATGATTAACGCCTGTAAGATGGCTTCCGCCAGCCGGGTCACTGCGATCATCCCGTGCTTCCCTTACGCCCGGCAGGATAAGAAGGATAAGAGCCGGGCTCCCATCTCAGCCAAGCTTGTGGCAAATATGCTCTCCGTAGCGGGTGCAGATCATATTATTACCATGGACCTCCATGCTTCTCAAATCCAGGGCTTTTTCGACATCCCTGTGGACAACCTGTACGCAGAACCAGCTGTCCTGAAGTGGATACGGGAGAATATCTCTGAGTGGAGGGACTGCACGGTCGTCTCGCCCGATGCGGGGGGAGCTAAGAGAGTTACCTCCATCGCAGACCAGCTGAATGTTGACTTTGCCTTGATTCACAAAGACCGGAAGAAGGCCAACGAGGTGGACCGCATGTTGCTGGTAGGAGACGTGAAGGACCGGGTGGCCATTCTGGTGGATGACATGGCTGACACTTGTGGCACAATCTGCCACGCAGCCGACAAACTTCTTGCAGCTGGAGCCACCAGAATTTATGCTATCCTGACTCACGGGATCTTATCTGGCCCGGCCATTTATCGCATCAACAACGCCTGCTTCGAAGCAGTAGTGGTCACCAATACCATCCCTCAGGAGGATAACATGAGGCACTGTCCCAAAGTACAGGTGATCGACATCTCCATCATCCTGGCAGAAGCCATCAGGAGGATTCACAACGGGGAATCTGTTTCCTACCTGTTCAGCCATGTCCCTCTATAACAGAATACGTACCTTCTGAGGCTTTCAAAAAATAAAGCGAACCCCTCTCCTTGCTTTCCTTTCGTGTTGAATGAAAAAGTCAGCAGAAGCCCCAGCTTGCTCCAGTAGCTTTCTACAGCCCATGCCAGGTATATTGGTATATTAATGTTTCTCCAAAAATTAGGGAGAGACAGATTGAGACTAACTGCTCTGGTTGCTTACGTGCACTGTCTCATTTCAGCTTCTTTAATTTTGTGGGCCTTGCAGCTTTAAATAGAGCCCAGCTTCTTTCAGACTCTGAAGGGTGTTGTGTGTGGGCGTTTGAATGGGGTTAGGGATGCTTAGACTACTTTTCACGTGAATGCTTCTGGGATTCGTAGGTTCAGAACTAGTAGCAACAGAGCCAACCAAAAAATAAAAATAAAATAAAACAAAGAATGCTAACCCAGTCCCTCCACTCCCGTAACATGTGACAAGTTCTCTCAGGTCTATATTAAATTACAAGAGCCCTAACAAGTCCAGAATCCAGCTCTGCTCGCTGATCCCCTGTGAGGCGGGCAGCTCCCAGGTGGGGGCCTGCGGGAAGGTGGCACACAGTGCAGCGGGCACTTCTTGGGAGGAAAAAGCCTGACCCTCACCCTCTGCTAGGAGACTGTCCCTTAGTCTCTTTTGTGCCCGTTCCTTTTTCCATTTGGTTTGTTCTTCAACCATCCTGACCTTTTCCTGGCTAATTACCTCCTCGGGCAAAAATGCTCACTGTCCCATAGTCTTCTGGAAAGCAAACCTCACCTTTGGCTGTGTACTCTTTTAACAGTTGCATGAGGTTATTTTGCCATAGCTTAATCTTAGCCCACTGCCACCGTGGTGGAAGGTAAGTGTTTAATTTTCATCTTATTTCCCTTGATCTGTTTGGCCTCTCAAATGACCTGAGGTTTCTGTTAAAAATATTGATGCTACTAGCTCTTGTAGAGGAAACTAAGAAAGTGTCTGTGTGTGATAAAAAATAATTAAGACACACGGGGCTCTTGGCTACCATACTGGACAGTACAGGCCCAGAACTTCCATCCCAGAATACGAGGCAAAAAAGCCACGGGTTCCCCCAGAAGGGAAGCTTCCCTGCAAGGAGAGGTGTGCCCCTAAGCAGAGGTCCTTGGAGGCTTACCACCCTGGCATATGCAGTCATTTAAGTCTTGCCTGGATGGGGTCTTGATGGATTAGTGTCAGGGACTGAGGAGGGGGGCATGATTCTAGAACACTTAGGAGCGGTCTTACACTTGGAGCACTGCAGGAGGCACACTTTCTTCTCTCTCTCAATTTATCTGCTAGAAATAGTTTACAATAGTAACGCTAATGATCACCACTTCCCTAATGCTTCCTTGGTTACAGGAGCACGCTGTGCAGCATGACCAGTCAGCTTCCAGGATAGAAAGAAGACTCAATCTAAGTGATGGTGCGATCAATGGCTAATATAAAAGGGCTTTACGGTGAACAGGTTTTTTTTCTTTTCTTTTAGACAGCCTCGAGATATGCCAAAACCTGGCTCTAAGTTTAACTTGGGGCTATAAGCATTTCCCAAGAAGGCTGATTGTTGTAGCATCAGAAGGATCGTGTTCTAACACCACTTCCTTCCCTCTCCTCTGGAGACAGCCCAGGTTGAGATGGAGATCCCTCATCTCTGTGCTTCACTGTGAGTATCTCCGGCCACATATTTCCATGCATCCCGCTCTTCCTGTTTGGTGAGCATGTTAACTATCCCCCCAGAGCTGATGGGAATGAATGTGCCAATTCACATTGGGTGCCTCGATTCCAAGAAGTTCTCACTTGTCAATTTTTTGTCATGACTAGAGCAAGAGCCATACAGTGACTTTTTCAGATAGTCAGTATCCCTCTCCTACAGCAGCACTCCCAGAGGGATCTCTAGCCTCGGTTAAACCTGCAACTTCCGCCAAGCTCCAAGAGACGAGTTGACACAATGGAGAAGCCATTTTGCTCTCACACAGTGCCTTGCTCAATACAAGGAGTGGTTACTCCAGTGGCAAATTGGATACCTTGCCCTCCTCTAAGGATCCCAACTCCTTCAGGCAGAGCATGATTCAAAGCCCCAGACAACAGTTTGAATTCAAAGTTTCAGCTCATATTTTCGACACAAATTGACTTCTGATCGGATCTCTTGGTTCCTCTTCACTAGAATTCCCCTGAGGAATATTAATAAGATTGTTTCCTCTGATTTTTGAGAGTTAATTAGGCTTGTGGCCAGGGAATATGTGCATCATGGAACACAGGGGGAAACCAGAAGAGAAAGGAGTGATAATCAATACAATTTCTTGGGGGCGGGGGGGGGGGGGGTGGTGGTGGTGGTGGCGCATGGATATGCAGCCTACAGTCTATAAATGGAACTGATAAAGCAGCTAAGGGCAGTTCCACATGCCTCCTGATCCCCAGAGGGCTCTGACAGACAAAGAAAGGCACTACTTCGGCTCTTTAATCCACACTGCCGTCTGCACTGGATTTTGTGTTGATGGTTTTAGGGAACAGAGTCATCTGTCTAGTTTCTTTGCCTTAGAATGTTTCCTCAGAGGAGTAGACCATTAGGATGGTAAATATCCCCACAGAGTAATGGGCAGTGGAAGAGACCTATAAAGTCTGGATCAGATCCATAACAAGGGGTTTCTTTAGTCTAGCATTGTTTTCATTACCAATGATGACATCTGATGACAGTGAGCATCTTCATATAAAGCAACCACCACACTAAATGTCACTATCTTCCTTTTGCAGAATATCTTAGTAGTAGCCTGAGGCCTGATTTCATTGAGATCTACTGTGTTTTCTTCCATATCTAAGGGCTAAGAGACATGTGTACAACTGTTTATTTTGCCTTTTTATTACAGACTTGTATAAACCCATATAAAAGTAGGCAGAATAATATTATGAATGTTCATGTATCAACGATTATCAACTCCTAGCAATACTGTCTCATCTAAACTCCCACCTCATTTCCTTCTCTCCTCCATTGCTCTGAGGTAAATGCCAGATATTATCCTATCTAACAAAAGAGTAATATGCAAATTGACCATCACACCAACACACAAGATGGCTGCCCCCATGTGGACACAAGATGGCCACCACAAGATGGCCAGCAGGGGAAGGCATTTGGGAGGGACCAGGCCTGCAGGGGAGGGCAGTTAGGGGCAAACAGGCTGGTAGGGGAGCAGTTTGGCATCAATCAGGCTGGCAGGGGATTGGTTAGGGGGTGATCAGGCTAGCAGGAAGAAGCAATTAGGGGCAATCAGGAAGGCAGGCAGGCAAGCTGTTGGGAGCCAGCAGTTGGGAGCCAGTTGTGAGAGGGATCCCAGATTGGAGAGGGTGCAGGCTGGGCTGAGGGACACTTCCCCCACCCCTGTGCATGGATTTCGTGCACCAGGCCTCTAGTAGAATAATAATTATAATTTTAGGGATTCCTCATAATCCCCCTTGTCTGATGTCTATTTCCCACCTCTAATGTTTTATTTTGAAATGAATCCCAAATATCATACTTTTTAGTGATATTTTTCTTCCTCCAACCTGATAGGTTTTGTTATAAAGCTATTATTTGTTAGTTTTAATAGACATGAACTCATTAAAAAAACAGGTGCCACAATTAACATGCAATCAGTGCATTCCCTTCAAGGCTCTGTTACAGCAATGAATCAAGTTCTAGAAACACTATAAGCAAATTTACTTAACTTACAAAGGCAATCATACAACACAAAGACTCTATGCCTGGTGCAGGTGCCCGCGGCTTCTTACTCTGTTATGAAGCAGCACCGGAATCGTAAAACCGCTCGGTTACTCCCTCAGGCTTTGCCGCGTCAGGAGTTGGTTACCCACGAATTACTTTCTAAAAGCTTCTGGATGTGAATACTATCAATATCAGGAGCGTTATAACCATTCGTCCATTGCAACGGGAAAATACAGCATTAAAATCACACACAGGCATGACACTGTGTGTGAGTACAGCTGGGTTCCCATGGAGGCGATATTCAGTCACTCACCCATGGCTACTTCATGAGAATTGTCCCCTTTCGCTGTGGGTTCTCTTAGTGAAGTGCCAGTTCCCTTTTCTGCAGAACATTCTTCTGTTGTAGGGCCCTGCTTCTGCTGATTTCTCTTCTTTCTTCCCTTTCTTGCTGTGATAGCCCTGTTCCTCTTCATCGTATCCCGTATAACTTTCATATCATAATCACTCTCTGATTTTCTTTCCCGATCCTTTGCCTTATCTTTCCTTTTCTTCTTCTTGCTTGTTGATCATTTTCATTCCTCTCTGCTTCTTCTCTATGTTTCTTCTCTTATTTATGCTCCTAGGGCAGTGGTCGGCAAACTCATTAGCCAACAGAGCCAAATATCAACGAGTGAAATTTCTTTTGAGAGCCAAATTTTTTAAACTTAAACTTCTTCTAACGCCACTTCTTCAAAATAGACTCACGCAGGCCGTGGTATTCTGTGGAAGAGCCACACTCAAGGGGCCAAAGAGCCGCATGTGGCTCGTGAGCGCAGTTTGCCGACCATAGTCCTAGGGGATGGTGAGCGAGAAGATCGGGCTTTTAGGAGATCGTGTGCCTCTCCTGCTTCTCCGGCGGCATCTCTCTCGGCTTGCACTCTGGACTGTTTGGCTGCGCTGTAACACTTGGTGGTGGTTTGGAATGTTTCTTTCGTTATCTTCTTTCTTTTTGTCTCTGGGTTTTGATGTGCTCCTTGACCTTCTAGCTTTCTCCCTGGAAGGAGATCTCCGTCTTGGACTTTTGGATTGCCACCTAATCTTAGAGTGTGATCTCCATCTGTTCTGTGACTGCCTGTGCCAAGAAGGGGGTTTCGATCTTGAGTGCTGGCATTTTTCTTCTTTCCTACCTGGTTGATGGCAGGAGGAATTAGGGACTGTGCTTCCCATACTCTCTTCATGGTTCCCCTGTTTCTTTACTAGAGGCATCCGATTTCAGACGTGGTGAAACGAGACCAGCAGCTACATTCAAATCCTCCAACATGAT